TCCCGTTAAGGTGATTTTAAAAAGGTGATTTGAAAGGTACCTTTCCCGTTAAGGTGATTTTAAAAAGGTGATTTGACCGGTACCATTCCCTTTAAGGTGATTTTAAAAAGGTGATTTGAAAGGTACCTTTCCCGTTAAGGTGATTTTAAAAAGGTGATTTGACCGGTACCATTCCCTTTAAGGTGATTTTAAAAAGGTGATTTGAAAGGTACCTTTCCCGTTAAGGTGATTTTAAAAAGGTGATTTGACCGGTACCATTCCCTTTAAGGTGATTTTGAAAAGGTGTTTTGACAGGTACCTTTCCCTTTAAGGTGATTCATGGGTGACGTTTGCAGTTCTTTGTTTGTAAATGGTCAAGGAAGCTGAGGGTTAAAAAGGTAGCAGGTATCTCCGCATGTGGGTGGTTAGGGGTCACTGGGGTTTCTTATTCCCTACGCTCACTTCTGAGGCCTCTGTGTTTTATGGCAGCTCTGTGTCCAATGGTGATAACTGCCAGTTTAACACTTGCCCTACTTTTTAGTTTTACTATAGTCAGACCTTTAACAATTTTCTAAGAGTCAGATTTAATGTTGCTGACTGTAGCTCATCCTCCGTGTTCCGAGGGGTGTGTAAAGGGGCGGGGCTACAGGGGAACTAGCTCCAACTGAAAGCTGATTGGTCCCAAAAGTACCCCCTCCCCTGTCACTCACCCAGTGCATTAACCTTCAGTGGGTAATGATAAGGTTGGCCGTTGGCCCCTCTGTATGAAATATGACCCCTCTTATGCCTCCCACATTTAAAAAATCCTCGAATTGCCCCCGCCTGTGCCTTTTCCTGTTTGTCCTCCACAGGTTCAGTGCGTAGCAGCGCTGATGCACCTATTCAGCTCTAATGTTTAACCTAGAAGCTGGAAGATGGGCAGTTTGGGAAGAATTTCCTCTGCTGTGTAGCATGAGAGCAGAGACAGGCCCAGGCCAGGCCTGGCTTGACCCACATGTGACGGCTCCGGTGCTGTGGACTGATACAGAGACAAATTTTATCAACAAGAGATTAAACTGCCATAAACAGAGGTGGGGTTGTCTTTTCTGTTTGGTGTTTTTTCCCAGAATGAGTCATGAGTCAGTGGAAAAGTGTCACAGCGTCTTCACTGTGGTCACATTTGAACTGGCCAGTTTTTGTTATTAAATCTTCTCCACAGCACAGCAGTAGGACGTCGTGAAAGTTGTTG